ACTATGCCATACTATGCCATACTATGCCATACTATGCGTCAAGATTGTGAACCCCAAATATTGGATGCACGGCGAAAACCTTGACCTATGGCCCTATGGTCCCCATTGCTGGGGTTCAGGAGCGCATTTGAGGCCTGCTTGGCTTCGGGCGCCAAGTCAGAGTTGATGTACCTGAGCATAGACAGGTTCTGCAGGAATGATGCGAGGTGCTGGATGTTGTTGCATATGACGGAGGATATGTATGTAACAAACACATACACTGACATACACACATATTTTACGGATGATATTATATAATATAATATTACATAATATTATATATATATATATTTACATATAGATGATTAGATGGTTAGATGGTTAGACAGTACTTTATGTAATGTTATAGATGTTGATCTATTTTGACCATGAAGCCTGATCGTGGTTGGATTATCGGTTACACGTTTACACCCCGCTGTGTTGGGCTCCTGGAGGGCCCTTTGCACAAAGATTGCCTGTCGGTTCAAGTTGGTAACCAAACTATGTAGGGCGACTCAGAGATCCCAATTTCATCCAATTTCTATCCTGGCACTTTCCAACATTTTTACCCGATGTTGAGGCCATGGATGGAAAACGTAGTAAACAACACTGAAATGTGCAGTGTTCAGCAGGATCGCCTTTTACGTGGAAGTTCACGACTTCAATGTAAGATTTTATGGCAGTGGCAGTGGAGACAGCAACATGTGAAAGATTTGTTTGTATATATATATACACATACACTACATATGAGATATGGTCTCAGCTTCAAGAAAGCCAAATGTGCACAACACATCATAAGACAACACAGGAGCAGAACTCCAACAATTAAACAAATTGTCCGGAAGCCAGTCTTTACGCGTCAACTGGAAGCCTTTTTGGGACATTTTGCACCCTTTGGCTCACAACAAATATGTTTGCAAATGTGTGTGATTTGTGTCTGTAAGATATTTTAATTATTTGATATTGCTTAAACATTTTGAAGAGCCAGTGAGTTGGCTTCATCATCTTTGCCATGTGAGGTATATCAAAGTGTATCAAGGTTTGCGGGCGGGGCTTGGGTGATTTTACTGGACAGACCTATTGGGGATATTTGCTGCAAGATGTTGCAAGATCATGGTGTTTTCCCAGCAGTTAAATTATGTTTGTGTGAGGTCATTGGTAGTCATTGGTAGTGGCTTTAAGATGCTTTAAGTATCTCTCAGGAAACGGAAGTGAAGGTGGGCCCCACAATCCGCACAACTTGAGTTAAATAGGTAAATTTGGGCGCAAAATCAACTCAAGTCCCATTCGCCCCCAAGTCCCCAAAAAATAGATCCTAAATGGTTGAACCTGTACACACTGAATAGTTGAATGTGTACATAGGTAATGTCAGCGCATGTCAGCTCAAGTGAGTCGTTTTAATGGGGGCAAGTGAGGTTTTTTGTTTCAGCATGCGCATGTTGCAAGCATCAAAGAATAAAAGACAGAGGGGAAGTAGAGTTCACCTCTGCGACCTGTATTGGGGAAGCAACTTCCTATTGATGGACCCCAAAACAACACGGCATAACACACCAGGTCATCGTTTTTCCTTTGGAAACCAGAGGATTTACTTGTTGTATCTTGTTGTATACTTTTCGCTCCCCAACTCTTCAAGCGACCTGGTTGCAAGGCAGCACAAGTGTTGCTGAGCTGGAAAAAAGTGGCCGTAAAGCTGCAGTACCTTGGCCGCCTTGGCAACGGTTGATGACACCACTGGCAACTACTAGTAACTCAACCCAGCTCCCAACGTTGTCCCAACATGTACTAACGAGAATCACAAAAACCCAGTTATGAGGGAAAGTCACCGCACGAAATAAAGTCTCTTTAGATCTCTTGAGACTGTGACCCTTGCTGAGCAGATGCACTATCAGGCTCTTAAATAGTAAGGGGATTTATCTGAAGTATAGCTATAATGAGAAGAAGATTGGGACGTCACCAAGAACAGGTCTAGACCGAGATGATGCTTCTAATTCTAAAGCTTCGGATCTCCAAACTTTGCCATCGTCCGTGTCGGAACCACACCATCCAGCGGGTGACTTAGGATCGACTTTAGAACGCAGGCACACTCGTAAAGCTGCAAAGGGTTCCATCTCTTCCATTATTTCTATACCCATGAACAATATATATATATATATAATCATATATAATCTGGATCTCCAAGAGTAACAGCTTCTGCACAGCTAGTCCGCACTTAGCTTCCGATCCCTCCTGGAAGCTCCGACCTTTTCGATACTCCAACCTTTGCGATCATGCTTGATTTGATGATTGGTTGGTTGGTCGGGCGTGTACAGGTCTGCTGGTCGGCCGTGTCACTAGTATACATCGATATCATTCGATATCATATATCAAAAGTATATCACGTCGATATCGTGCTACGATTGCTTCCCATGCGACCAAGGCGAAGGTCGGCGGGGCCAAAGGCGCCAAAAGGGCCAAAGTGGCCAAAGCCAAGAAGGCAAGCACTGCCTGTAATTTCTGCAATCGACAACAATGCACGGCTATGCACGGCTGAAATCAATTTGTGCAATTTGTTCATTATGTTAGTGGTCTATTGGCTGGATGAAACGTCAAGAAGCAGGTACTGACATGAAAGACTTGGTCGTCCCTCAGCATCCGTTGCAGCTTTTCTGAAAACCGTTTAGGTGAAATCTGCCAAACCTGCCAATGAAAGCAAGCGCAGGAAAGCTTCACGAGACTCGGTGTATCAAACGCTGCATGCCATGCTAGGGCGAACAAACCAAATCTCGTTCCTTGTCTTGCGTGCCAAGTTGACAATGGTTGTCGCTGTTGGTGGTGGTCAACGCAGGGTTAAAATCCAGCATGCCATGAGTTGTTGTGGAAGTACCAGTTTCTCATCATCTCCAGCAGTATTTCGATGTGTTTCGCACATAGATGACAACGGCGTCGCATTACCTTTGAGGATAGAGCCTGCGCGGCTGGTTGTCAGAAGCTGGCCATGGAGCTGTTGCTCTAAGAAAAAAAATGGTCAATGCATCGGACTGGGGTTGCTGGTTGAGAAATCAATAGGGTTAGCCACCGAGGGGTGCAGATTCTTTTTTTCAACAGCAGCGCTGAGGACAGTTGACAGATGATTTCGGGTGTTTCCAAGAATTAGGATACATAAAAGTCAAGTTGATGGTCTATATTGGATGCAAAGGCAACATTTGGTTGGTTCTGCAAGAGCGAAGAAAGGGACAGCAGAGGAGATGATTAAGTTTGACATGTTTGAATCTTTTTGATACCATAGGAATCCATAGGATATCATAGGATCATATTACAGACAAAAAATATCAAAAACTATCAATAAGTTTTATAATATTATATATATAATAATATACAATATGTATTAACATATATTCTAATAAGTATTAATATCTATCAATTATACATTAACATGCGCTGTATCATTTGAATTCATTTATCATTTGTAGGACAGACAGCTGGAAGTTGCAAAAGTCGGTGGTTTTCGGAAGGCTGGCCCCGAGCTCTTGGCGAAGATCGCCAGGCAGCGCATTTTGAAGGACAGACGAAATTGGGACATCTAATGGGGGCAGTGCACAGGTCATGGCGGCCTTCCCAAAATTTGCACAAGACTTCTGCTATTCAATAGTCATCAATAGTCAATAGTCGGCAGTTTAGTACAGTTTATCAGTTTGGAGGAACCGAGAGCCCTTCAACACTTATTGTATCATTGTACCGTTCTCCACCAGATTCCACGTACATCATTTACATCATGGTGAAAGACCACACATGGTGAGCGCGGAGGCGAAATGAAATCCTGCCAGCAAAGTAATTAGCATTCTTGGAACTCACCGTCAACACTCCATGTCTATTCTTGATTATTCTTGATTATTCTTGATTATTCTTGATTATTCTTGATCATCTTTGGTAGTGTCAAAAATTGCTGAACCCTCACCCTATTTTAAGGAGTGCAACCGTCACCCTTTAATATCACCAAGACATACAAACACCATCTTTGTTGGAAAGTTGGCTCAACGGCTTGAAGGCATTCAGACAGTGGGCGGGTCCAAAACAATCGGACCGAAGTGACTGAAGTGACTTCATGTTTTTTTTGGAGCCCGGTGACTCCCGGTTTTGACTGAAGCCAAACTGCTTTGCACCCTGAAGAGCTGTGCTTGCACTATTTTGATCTATTTTGCCTTTCCTCCAGGGTTTCGCATTGGTTTCAGTTCTCTATCCATACGGTTGAGTTGCCGTATCTTGCTGTCCTTATGTTTGAGTTGATAGTCTAGTTGGTACTGAACACCATCGAAAACCAATGGTGGCTGGCCCATTACACATCATCGATATCACTGTCCAAGGAGCTACAAAAGATTCTGAGCAAGCCGCGTGGTGCAGAGGTGGCTTGGTGACTCCATTGGGCTCCCCGCATTCGCTCTACGGAGAAACACAGCTGCCAACGAAGGTTGTTTATGATTGGTCAATGGTGAATGTTCATGATGTTCATGACTTGGGATGACGTGGGTAGTTGATGGTAGTTGGTGGTCAATTTCTGCCTGCTCGATTGATCGATTTATTGGATGCTTCAGTGCTTCACGCCAACATTTGAACATGCCCTATCGCTAGCTGTTTGATGTATTCAGTGTTTTGCATGGGCAGCAGCGGCCATGGGAATAAACCTTTGAGATCCTTTGAGATGGTATTTGTCCCATACCATACTAAACATATTTGAACTACCTTACGTGGTTGTTGAGGCTTCAAGTGGAGAAGGATGCTTTTTTTGCAACGGATTCAGACAGAATGTCCATGACAGATCTGCTTCCCAGCGCACCACATTTCTACGTAGAGTCTATCATACTTGATCATACTATAGTCTTGATGATTTTTGATGTGTGTGTTTCCAAGAATTTGATCGGCCTGTTTCTGTAGGGAAATGCTGGGCCTTTCCTTCAAATGGAGCCACGCCCCATTTCTGGCAAAGCAAAGTGCAGGTCGTGCAGCTCATGGCAGAGGACTTGGCCGCCATTGTGTTGTCAGCACTGCTCAAGCCATCTTAAATATGTATATAATTGCCTTCCCCAAGCCCGCCGGCGATAGAGAGGTGGCCCCAAGGGAGTTTGATGTCCACTCTAGGTGGTTGACCGTATACCAAATGAGTACCGCCCACAGCAAAGTAGCGCCAGGTACTATGTATGAGCCTCTGGCTTGACAGCAGACCGCTACATGGAAGGGGACAGGGTGGAAGCGGAGAGAGGTTGCCCCAAGGAGGTTGATGTGCACGCTAGCTGGAAGCCTGAGAGAGAAGCAGAAAATAATAGAAGAAGAAGAAGAAGCAGAAGAAGCAGAAGAAGAAGAAAAAGAAGAAGAAGAAGAAGAAGAATAAGCAGAAGCAGAAGAAGAAGAAGAAGAAGAGGAAGAGGAAGAGGAAGAGGAAGAGGAAGACGAAGACGAAGACGAAGAAGACGAAGAAGAGGAAGAAGAGGAAGAAGAGGAAGAAGAGGAGGAAGAGGAGGAAGAGGAGGAAGAGGAGGAAGAGGAGGAAGAGGAGGAAGAGGAGGAAGAGGAAGAAGAAGAGACGAAGACAGAGCCGTAGCTCAGGAGCAGCTTGAGTAGCAAGCGCATGCTTGAACAACCTATGGACAGCATAGGAAATGAGCATCGGTCGATCATTTTAGTACCGTGTGCGTCTTGTGACTAGTACCGGTAGACGATTGTATTCAGACGAAGATAAATCGCGCAGCAAGAGAACAAAGGAACAAGCACAAGCCAAGAACAGAACAGGAACAACACCTTCCAATCAGACACGCCGGCAGGCCGGCGGATTTTGCTGTCAACAACTTCAACCTCCAACATCACATGATCTAAAGATCCCAAACTATCCAAAAAAGGATCAGTGTGGGGGCGATCCCACTCTCGACCCGCTTGTGAGTCTGCAGGATAAAGTGCTTGATGCGGTGCTAAAGGCTCGAGCACCTGCCTAGAATGGGGTGGCCGAACTATCCTCCCAGTTGACCCTTTATAACATTAACATCTGTTACAACCCCACTAATTACCAGTAGTTGTCAGGCACCCGATGCATTTGCAGATGAATTACGTTAAACTTCTGTTTGCCCATGTGACGGTTCTCCATGCAAGCTTTCTTGTTTGTATAGTGCATCAACAGATTGGACAGTTTGTCAAATATAGGAGCATGTGATTATGGATTATGACCGATGCCCGGACAAAGAGCAGGGGATTCGACGATGAAATCATTCGGAAATTAGATAGTGTAGATCAGCTCAGTGGAGTACTGTGCAGCACTTGACAGTGAAGCTTCCAGATAGATTTAGGGTTCAAGGGCTTATTATTTGGATTGATTCGGGTAGATTTGGTCGACATGTACCCAGGTGCAACCGCCTTTGTCCGCCAACGGTCGCGAGCTGCGAGCGTTACAGCGTCTATGGTCGCAGCCGGAGGTGTGAAACCACATGCCCAATTCCAATCATTCGAGTTCAACGTACTCAACACTCACCTGATAATATCAGCAACAATCGAGCCAACTGCTGCGTGAATGTCACATTCACGAGGCACGTCACGCAAATCTATTTATCACATATGTTCACATATACATTCATACCAGTAGTACCGCACAAGGCGGGCGCGGAAGTTTCAAAGATAGGAAACTTATAGGAGAGGTGAATTGTTGAAATGCATGGATGGCAGAGCGAACACACCGATGGATCGGAAGGTGGTTGCAGTGTCGGGCTATCTATCTGTGTACCTATATCTGTCTATATATTTATCTATCTAACTATCCATCTGTCTGTCTGTCTATCTATCTGTCTGTCTGTCTGTCTATCTATCTATCTACCCATATTTGTCTATATATCTCGATCTAATCGATCTAATCGATCTAATCGATCTAACCCATCTAACCCATCTAACCCATTTAATCCATCTAATCCATCTAATCCATCTAATCCATCTAATCCATCTAATCCATCTAATCCATCTAATCCATCTAATCCATCTAATCCATCTAATCCATCTAATTCATCTAATCCATCTAAAATATCTAAACTATCTAAACTATCTAAACTATCTAAACTATCTAAACTATCTAAACTACCTAATCTATCTAAACTATCTAAACTACCTAATCTATCTAATCTATCTAATCTATCTAATCTATCTAATCTATCTAATCTATCTAATCTATCTAATCTATCGATCTATCGATCTATCGATCTATCGATCTATCGATCTATCGATCTGTCGATCAATCTATCAATCTATCAATCTTCTATCTATCTATCTATCCATCTATCTATTTTTTTTATCTATCTATCTACCTATCTATCTGTCCTTCTTTCTTTCTTTCTTTCTATCTATCTGTCTTTCTATCTATCTGTCTATCTGCAAGCTTGAAAACGAAGTTATTCTGCGAGACTTCCTTGAAATTGAAAGTTGAAAGCTGAAAAACGAAGCTTTTCTGCGAGAGTTCCTTTAAATTTGGACGTTGACAATACCAATAACGCAGCGATTCTGCCAGACTTCCTCAATTTTCGAAGTTGGTAACATAAAAAAGGACGCACTTCTGCGAGACTTCCTTCAAACATGGAAACTGAGTGCTGAGGTGACAGCCTCGTACCAATGCGCTTTGCGATTTTTCGATCCCATGTCTCTAAAGTACCGCGCCTGCCACAAAAAAGTGAGGCCAGGTCATACGAGGTGCTGCACTGTTGCGCAAAAGCATCATAGCAAACCTGAAGATCTGCCCTGACCTCCTAGAATCTTTGATGAAGATGTCTCTTGTACCGCGCCTGCCACGCAAACTGCATCTTTGCAGGTCCTCGGCAGGTGTCCACGCCTGCCACCGTTTTTGAAACTGCCACTAGACCGTCACGTTTTGCTCACTTTTGGCAAGGTGCCGAATCCTTTTGCCCCCTGCCGCGCAAAATGACGATTGAACGTCCAAAATGCTCCGAACATGTGATGTTTTTAGCATTTTGTTTTGTGCATATTAGCTTGGAAATGTGCTTCGTGCCACAACGGCGTGCACTTTTTCGACATCACAACTTCCAAAAGTGCTCCGAGCATGGTGTGTTGTGTTTTGTACATTTTGACTTGGAAATCTGCTTTGCGGCACCACGGCGTGCAATTTTTGATTTCTCATCTGACCAGATGGCTCCGCACCCGCCGCTTTAGCGAGCCTACTTTTCGAGCCTCTGGAGCCCCAAAACATTGGAAAAACGGAGTGTTTCGCGACTTCTTTTACCTTTTCGCGCACTTCGATCTTGTTTCTTCTGACTCTTTCTCGTCTCTGATCTTATTTCTTCTTCTCTTCTCTTCTCTTCTCTTCCTCTTCCTCTTCCTCTTCCTCTTCCTCTTCTCTTCTCTTCTCTGACTCTTCCCACCTCTGACTCTTTCCACCTCTGCTTTTTCATCTGTCCATATTGGCGGAAGTTTGCCTTCTAAACTTCCTTCGGTAGTTTCATATAATATATCTATACATAAATAAAATCCTTGACATGATATTACATGTATCGGTATATTTTGAACTATATTGATACGTACTAGAGTATGTAGATATTGATATTTATATTGTATGTAATGTATCATTTGTTTGTGTTGATGATTTGCATCCTTGCTGAAGGTGGCGGGATTCCTAGAGGCTGCGAGGCCAAAGGCTTTGCCAAAATTGTCCGGGAACCTGTTGCGCCTGTCGCGCCTGTTGGAAAATTGGACATGGGCCAACAGGTGACTGTGGTTCGCTTTTGAGTGACTGTAACTAACAGTCGTCGATATCTTAGATACGTGTCGTGTGGCGCCAAAGCACTACCGTATTTTAAAAGGTAATTAAGGCTTTGGAAGGAGTGACCTTTGTTCGATGTCATTTGATGTTATGTTATTTTAGCAAAGGGCTCAACCTCTGTGTCTCAGTACTGTATATCAATGAGGTTCAAGTATGCTTCGGGTGACAATACTATCCTTGGCAACCCTTGGCAAATGTTACAGTCTTCTCCCGGACCTGGAAATCCAGTGTAGAAGATAGATCTGCACATACGATTGTATGGATTATCGCCTCGAACATTCTCAAAAGGCATCAGATTGCAGATGTTGTTCAGCACACCGGCACTCAGGGAAAAGCCGCGGCCTCCGAATACTCTTTTTCCAGATCCTTTGTCAAACGCCGCACCACCAGCAGGAGCGCTCAGCTGCGGCTGACTGAATCCATACGTTCCATTCACCAATTTAGATCACATTCATCCACAGTACATATATAATCATATATACATATATGATATAATTATATATATCTATATACATATATATATATATATTAATTTACAGTGTCACTAGTACTCATATATATATATATATATGTTTGCTACAGATTGTAAATCGTTGTGGGTTTGCCGCCCGCTATATATGTATATATATATAATATATATATATATATGTATAGTTGATGCAGCTTTACAGGGAATCCGTCCCGGTGCTCTGGTGGTCCCTAATTTTGGACCCAGGTGGTTCCGCAGCCGTACGATTTTTATGCCGTCACCGACTTTGAGGCAAGACTCCATCCACGGTGCGGGTAGTAAGGCACGGGTATTGGATATGATTAAACAATTTTAATTAGTGACCCTGATCTTCTCTATGGAGAGGGACATTCCTCATAGGGACACTCCTGGAACATTCCTTTTTATTAATTTCAATTCGAAATAATTATTTCTATTTCATTCCAAGTAATGCAATTTCATTCCAAATAACTACTTTTCATTCCAAAAAATACTTTTTCGCTCATGTTTTTAAAGGTTTTTTTCAAATGATCAAGATTTGTTATTTTTAATTTTTGATTTGATTTTGAATTTAAAATTTCTTTTTTTTCTTGTTTTTAAATATTTCTTTTTTTTTGTTGTTTTTCATGATTTTTATTGTTGTTTTATTTTTTAATTTTCATTTTGATGTTTGTTCAGTTGTTTTTCGATATTTTTTTGAGAATTTTTGAGAATTTTTAAGTTTTTGTTTTGCAAGGATAGCAACTTTTAGGAGTAGCCCTTTGAGGAGTATCCCAGGGTTCTTTAATGACCTGACAAAATTGCCCAGGCGACCATCTCAGCGTAGATAAGCATCGTCAATGTTTATCACTATGGTATCCAACTTGGTTGGTTCCACGCTGCAGTCCTGATCGTTTTTGACTCTGTGCCAAGTTGGTAAACCCCAAGATACCCCAAGGTTCCAAAACTTGGAACCCCTAGGCGATTCTTTCTCCAGCCGCGCCCAGGTCAGATACTGTATTTTCCAGCAACAAACCGAGAGACAACGAACATAAGTAATTCATTGGATGGTTGAGGTACGGCTTGCAAAACTGCAACAGTGATACGCACCTTTAGCATAGTAGGTCAATGTAGGTCAAGGACTTAGCGGCGCCAACGCTTGGTTTGAAAAAATACTTTACTTCGAGTGATCCTCGCCATGGCATTTCAAGGCATATATTCTGACAGATCATTCTATCTGACATTTATTCTGGCATTCTATCTGGCATGGCATCTATTCTGGCATCCTATCTGACATCTGGCATTCTCTCTGACATTCTTTCTGGCATTCTATATGCTATGTCTTCGAAGGTTCTTTGCAGTTGAGGTCCGGCTGGGAACACTCTGATCCTGTGCTTGCTGTTTGGGTCCGGCGGGGGACACTGCGATCTAGCGCTTGCAGATGAGGTCCGGCGGGGATCAGTCTGATCCTGAGCTTTCTGTTCGCGTCCGGTGGGGAACTGCGATCTAGCGCTTGCAGTTGAGGTCCGGCGGGGAACACTTTGCTCCAGTCCGGCGGGGAACACTTTGCTCCAGAGGTTAACACTGAGATCTAGCGCTTGCAGTTGAGGTCCGGCAGGGAACACTTTGCTCCAGAGGTTGCTGTTCAGGTCCGGCGGGGAACACTGCGATCTAGCGCTTGCAGTTGAGGTCGGGCGAAGGAGGCGGAGGCGGAGGCGAAGGAGGAGGCGGCGAGACAGCTGACATAAAATCTAACAACCCGCACCTGACAGGGTGGGGAAAAATATGAAAAGGAAACCATGTGGATTCTGTCATCATCTCCCGTCTTCGAAGCCTGCAAAGTTCTTGTGCGTCAAGTTCACCAACTTTTGGGAAGGTTTGAGGTCTCTTTTGGGAAGTTGGGTCTTGCACCCCCTTTGCCCGCAGGCCACATGTTGGGATGGTACCCCAAACACTGAAATGCAGGAGGCGCCGGGAGCACGGCAGTAGCTGCAGCTGCTGCATGGCTGGTCAGATACACCGGTTTCCATTAAATCCAGCTGCAGCACTGGCAACCGACAGCCTGGCTATCATCCATCAATTTCTGCCTTGATGATCTTGATATTGACATTTGCTGTCTTCTTAATGATGACAATTTCATATTATTTCCACTTCAGGTGATTGAAACCATTTGCGCACGTTACACACCTTGTTTTTCTTGTTTACACCACCAAAGAAACATTTTAATTTTGCCCGTTGTTTCAATCCTATTACTCTCTCAAATAAGAGGTGCAACCAAGAGGTCGCATATGGTCGCATCAAGTTGACTAACAGTACATCCCTGGTGTGCAGATTATTGAGTTTCCGGTGGTTTTGCTCAATGCAGCAACTGGTGAAGTTGTCGACGAGCAACGGCCTCAGCGGAAGTTGCATGTCGCAGTGTGCTGAGCTGTTGGCCGAAATTGCATTTCCAATCTGTTAAAAAAAGGAGCCGAAAGGGGAATTTATGGGAATTTTCCTGGAATTTCCAAGTTCCAATGGAAAGAATGTTTGGGCAAGTTTTCAGGGTGTAAGTTGGTAAGCTTCTTCAGACAATTTATTGGGAGTGGTCCTGACAGGTTTCAGACCTTCGTTCGCCCGCTGGTGCCTACTTCAGCCTTGGAAGATTGCAATGTTTTTGGAGATCTGGTGAAAAAACCATGAACAATCTGAGAGAAGTGGCTGAATCGAAAATTAGATTCCAAAACTTCAAGCGTTTTTCAGAGGGTATGTCTCATGGGTGATTCCCCACGACCCCTCCAAACCGGCACCGTCGGACCAACAAATTTGGGATGTCCCCAACCCGTTGTCTCTGGATGAGCTGCGAAGGCACAGCCACGATTGTCAACATTCTGCAAGAGGTTGGAATCGGTTGGAATGTGGTGGTTTTGATACATTTTCATCATTTTTCATATTTTTTTTACGTATTTTTCATGGTCCGCTGTAGATGGGTTCACCCATCCACGCCCAACACAAAAGGGGTGTTTTTGCGATGGTTCATCATGGAGAAGACAGGCAGCAAAACCTTGGGCTTGCCGCAGTGCCGGAACAGAAATTAAAAATTCGTTGCAAGAAAAAGGGAATGTGTCGATTAGACCCTGTTTAATCATCCATGCTGTCATCCTTTTGCAGGTTGACTGGAATCAGTCAGGCGAGGGATGGGTGGGTGGGAGGGAACACAAGTGAAAAATGCCCAATATTTGCACCCGACAAGTACAGGGAGCACCACTCACGGAGGAAGAAAAAACAAGTATACAAATATCATATTAATATACATGTTGCAGGGAGAGAAAGGATGTGTAAAAGATAGAACAAAAGATAGAACATGTTGCATCATGTTGCATCCTTTATAAGTGTAGTGTCATTGTCCCTTAGAAATTTCAGCTATGGCAAACACCAAGTCGAGCTGCTCATTTGGCCAAGTATGAAGATGTCATGCGAGTCGTGTGGTGTCGCCTGTTCAGGAAGATGTTGATGACGCACCGACGTTTAAAGAAGCTGCAAAGCTCCTCATGAAATGGTTGGAGGCTGGGACATGCCTGGCAGTCATGCTTGGACTTCTGCCGGCCTAGGTACAAACAGGACATCAAGAGAATATAGCCGAATTGCGGCCGAATCTAAACCTTAAGGTTGAAGGCAAGTATTTTTCCCGGTCTGATTTTCGTGGATATTATGGGGTGCAGTGTTTGTGCTTTCATTGCTCCAGCTGTGTCGCCACGAGGAGAAAACATCGGGTGGCAGCATTGCCTGGCTAGCTGATGGAAATTGGGATCTTGAGATTATGCAGCCCGGCACATCCAATCTTTCCAACCGGGTCCAAAACGATCAAAGGTTTGAAGCTCACGAGTTGGTTGTGGGTCAATAATTTCTATATCCAACCAAGAGGATGCAATAGAATATAGACGGATTCAATCTGAACTGTACTTGAATGCCAGAAACAAGTCTTAACGTAAAAAACCATAAGGAGGGATTGTCAGCGAGGGTGGATAGATGATATAAGGCAGCAAAACGATGTTCAGCAATGACGATGTTCTTTGCCATGGTTGCTCGAATGCGGCAGCTTGGAAAGGGGACTCTTGCTACCAGGACGGGTATGAGAGGTTGTACAGAGTCGACAGGAAGAGCCGTTCTCGCACTTCCCTTATCACTCCCTGAAAATACGAACTCTGCGCATCGCCCCGCAACGCCCAGAGTACGTGGGATCAGTTGCTAAGTTGCTAAGCCAAGGCTTCCAAAACAGTGGAGAAGCGCCTTCGAGATTCCAATGCCTGCGTCGTGGAAGGACTGGTCGAAGGGTGATCCATGCGATTTATCAAGCTGCAGAGTATCATGGCATCGCGGTCACAAGCTATTACTATTGTGTGCATATTGGTGGTCCGGGTGTCCCCTCTGTCTTGCTTGCATTCATACAATCGTATGTAATGAAGTGTATATTTACACGTACATGTATGTATGTATTTACAGATATTTGCAGTATATGTATTGTCATTCTAATGATCCGTTTTGTATGTATTTATACGTGTATTTACTTACATGTAATCATCGAAGGAAGTTTAGTAGTCAAACTTCCGACAATATGGACAGATGAAAAGCAGAGATGGGAAGAGTCAGAGAAGAGAAGAGAAGAAGAAAGAAGATCAAAAAAGAGAAAGTCTCCGAATAAAGAAGATCCAGGTGCGCGAAAAGGTAGGAAAGTCGCGAGACACAGTGTTTTTCCAATGATTTGTGGCTCCGGAGGGTCGAAAAGTAGGCTCGCTAAAGGGGCGGGTGCGGGGCCAGCTGGCCAGATGAGGGATGAAAAATTGCCCGCCGTTGTGGCGCGAAGCACACTTCCAAGTCAAAATGTACAAAGCACCTCAGCTTCGGAGGGCTTTTTGAAGTTGAGATGTCAAAAAAGTGCACGCCGTTGTGGCGCGAAGCACATTTCGA